TCGAACGGGTTGACGCCGGAGTCGACGCCGATCTTGCTCCACTCCTCCTCGCGCTCCTTTTCCTCGGCGTAGGCCGACAGGTTGTGCTCGAGGATCGAGGGCACCACGTCCTGGCGCTGGTTGGGCTGCTGCGTGATGAACGGCAGGTGGTCCCTGATGTACGCCTCCAGACCTGGGGTAACGCCATGGCGTTGGGCCCGCGTGTGAGCGTCGAACAACTTCGAGTCACGCGCGCGCGGAATTCATAGCACGAACGAGAACGCAGGCGCGCACCAGCGTTGCGGCCGGACTTGGGGCCAGGGATGTAGGCCGAGCGCAGCGGTACGGTGGCGAGGCGGTACACCTCGGCGTAGTTCTGGCGACGCACCGGCGTGGGCGCCCACACCTCCTTCATCGCCGCTTGGAGCTCGGCCTTGATCGACTTGTTGAAGGCCGTGACGGGGTCCTGCAGCGCCTGCGAGTCGTTCTCGCCCTCCGGTTCCGGCAGCTCGTTCATCAAGAACCTTCGCAATGCAGCTCACGCCAGTCAGTCAGCCGAACCAACAGCGTTTCGCTCTCGTCTCGACTCGACGTGACGTGGTGTGGTGTGACGCGAGGGGAAAGAGGGACTCACCGCAGGATCTGGCGGGTGGTGGCTTCGTTGGGGTACACGAGCTCGTGGTAGCCCAGGTCGCCCTTGTAGCCCAGGCCCTTGATATACTGCGCCACCTCCGAGCAAATGTTCACCTGCAATCACGCACACACCACCGCGCATACGCGCACGCGCGCGCGCACACACACACACACGACAACACGATGAGAGCAGAACACAAGGAGGAGCGAACAGGGCATTGGACCAACCTTCTGGGACATTTGGCGGGGCAGGGTGCGCGGGAAGGGCTGCGAAGGGTCGATGGCCTTCACGAGTGCCAGGACGGCATTGGCCACATCGTCGGTCTTAAGCTGCTTAATGGACTTGACCTCGTCATCCAATTGGCTGTTAAATAATCAGTAAATTGTGGTTTAGTGATTACTGCCCCAGCTGGTGCTCGATTGAATCAGGGCTAGAATCAGGGTAGAAAATCATAATCGCGGGGGGGGGTGATCAAGGGAGGGGAAGAAGCTCTATGGGACGCACAAGCCAATGGACCGCAGTGAGTGAACGATAATCTCATCAACTTCCTCCATTCTCTCTCGAGTTTGCTGCACAATGGGGCTTATTGCTTCCGAATCCTCCACCCCTTTCCTCTGCTGCCAGCAGAGCATGACGTCAGCATTGTTTGTTTCCCAAACCAAAACCAAATTGAATTTATGAACGTTGTTTGGTGCCGTGTGGCCACACAGGCACCGTGGGGGGACAGAGATGAACCATCGGCGCCGTTTGCTGATGGTCGACGTTGCCCAGCTCTGGGCTCGGCCACTTCGGCCGATCCGAGAAAGTTGGGGTGGCTGATTGCCTGGAAAGTTGCCAGAGTCTTGCCCCAGAAAATTCGTCCACGCCCGCTCGCTGCGGCCAGTGGGGTTTATTTGAATTATTTTTGCAATCGAACAAGGAGCAGAGCGGAAGCATCACCACGTCCCCGCTTCGAGGAGAGGAGGACAGCAAAGCACGTTAACGTGGGGAAGGGGAGAGAAAGAGATATCTTTTTTCCGCTAGCAAGCATCACAAGATTAGACAGCCAAAATGGCCGATGGAAGTTTCGCCCTGGAGGTCTTTGTGGACGGCATGACCTGCAAGTACGCCCGCATTCTATTCTTTCTTCATAGGGAGGACCGAGGGCCACCAATTATTATGTGATGCCTCGCTGAATAAAATTACTAAATAATGATAAATAATAAAATAAAAATAAAAGCACTTACATTATACTAGTTTATTTCATAATGTTTGGTCACGTTATTGTTTGCTTCTAACTGTTCTTTTACAATTTGTTTTTAAAATTGAGCAGTAGCTGTGCCGCGACGGTCCAGAGCTTCCTGCTGTCGATGGACGAGGTGAAGGACGCCCAGGTGACCTTTGCCGACCGCAAGGCCAAGGTGGTCACCTCCCTCCCGATCGACGAGGTGTGCGCCACCCTCTCCGACCTCGGTACGGCCATTTTGTTATTATTTTGAATTGACACATATTCACAACATGTTGTGTGTGACGTACGAAGTGGCACTTCATTGACTTTTCGCTTCGTGTCGTGTGTGTCGTGTGTGTCGTGTGTGTCGTGCAGGGTTTCCATCGCGGCCCTACGACGAAAAGGAGGTGGCGGCGGCCATCGCAGCCGCCAGCAACACGCCCAAATCAAACAACACACAGAACAACGCGGCGAGCACCACGACCACCACCATCGAACTCGCCACTGTTGGAGAGTTACCCACACCCGCAGACAAAGGCACTCCTCTCGCTTCTGCGATCACACACACACACACACCACACACACACACACACACCACACACACACGACACTGAATCTTAACGTTCACGGCTTTCGTTGTGTCGCGTGTGCAGGAGTGTGTCGCATCGGCGTGAAGGGGATGACGTGCGGGGCGTGCGTGGCGACGATCGAGAGCTACGTGCCCAACGCGGTGGAGGGCGTCATCTCCATCTCCGTGGGCCTCCTGGCCGAGCGCGCGGAGGTGGTCTACGACAAGCGCACGACCAGCCCCAAGGAGATCGCTGCCGCCATCGAAGATGTCGGATTCCAGGCCGAGCTCCTGCTCGAGGCACCTTCCCAACACCACTCATATTTATTATTTTATTATTTTATTATTTTGGTTTATATATTTAGGCCTAATAGTTTATTTTTTTATTTCTCTTTTCCGCGTGCAGCCGACGGTGAGCAGCATCAAGCTGCGGATTGGCGGTATGACCTGCGCGTCGTGCGTGGGCCGGGTGGAGCGCGCGGTGACGCCGCTGCCCGGCGTGCTCAACGTGTCCGTCAATCTCGCCACCGAGGTGTGCGACGTCACCTTCACCTCGGGCCAAACCACTCTTCGCACTCTCATCAGCGCCATCTCCGACGTACGTTCTCTTTCCAACCTGTGACACATGCACGACACATACCACCGATCAACGACACGACACACCGCACACGGACTCAAACGTCGTTCGTGCTGCAGGCGGGCTACACGGCCACGATGTATGTGGACGACGTGGGCGCGCAGGAAAAGCTCCGAAGGGCCGAGATGGAATACCTCCGCTTCTCGCTCATCTTCAGCACCATCTTCTCCGTCCCCGTCTTCTTCCTCGCCAAAATTGGACCACACATCGAATGTACTTGCTCCCTCTGGTCATGTGTGTTGTGCGCTGTGTCGTGTGTGCGTGTGTGCGTGTGTGTGTCGTGCGCTATGTTGTGCGTGTCGTGTCTAGTGTAGTGTGTTCACACCAGCCTTTGTGTGTGTGGGTGATCGGCAGCTCTGTCTCCGCTGTATGCCGGCTATCTGCATTTCATCAGCGTGCAGCTGATCCTGCAGCTGATGCTCACCACCCCTGTACAATTCATCTCCGGTGGTAAGTTCTACATCGGCGCCTGGAAGGCCCTCAAACACGGCGGTGCCAACATGGTACTTTCCTCTCCGTGTCGTGTGCGTGTCGTGTTGCCAATGCTCATTTGCGATGAATGAATGAATGCAGGACGTGTTGGTGTCGCTGGGTACGTCGGCGTCGTACCTCTACTCGCTGTTTTCGATGGTGATGTGCTTCTTCCTGCCGCACTACCAGCCGTTCGTCTTCTTCGAGACGTCGGCCATGCTCATCACCTTCATCTCCCTCGGCAAGTACCTGGAATACGTCGCCAAGGGCCGCACCTCCGAAGCCATCCAAAAGCTCATGTCCCTCCAGGTACGTTCCACACACACACACACCGCACGCACACGACACGCACGCACGCACACACAACGTGGTGCTCAAAAAAAAGTGATATGTGGCGGGCAGGCAACGACGGCGACGTTGATCAAGATGGAGGACGATGAGATCCTCGAGGAGACGGAGCTGGCGCTCGAGCTGATCGAGGCGGGCGACATCCTGAAGGTCGTTCCGGGCGCCACCGTGCCCACGGACGGTATACTCATCAAGGGGCAATCGTTCGTCAACGAGTCCATGATCACCGGCGAGTCCATTCCCTCCGAGAAGGTATTTTATTGATTTATTATTTATTTATCTGTTTATAATTCTGATCATTATTACCATTTATTTTTATTATTGACGCATTGGGTTGGCTTTGTGGCGGCAGACGGTCGGGTCGGAGTTGATTGGAGGAACGATCAACACGACGGGCAGCTTCTTCATGCGGGCCACGCGTGTCGGGCGCGATACTGGATTGGCCCAGATCATTCGTCTCGTCGAAGAGGCTCAAACCCAAAAGGCCCCCATTCAGGTATTCCCCCCCCCCGCAAATCTGCCCACACCACGACACACGACCGCACACAACACAAGACGCACGGAAAAGCTCACATAGTTGTGTTGTGTAGGGTTGGGCCGACAAGGTGTCCGGCTACTTCGTGCCGGTGGTGGTGGTGCTGGGCTTCATCGTGTTCTGCATGTGGCTGGTGCTCACCCACCTGGACTGCTTCCCGCACGAGATGTATCCGCCCGGCAGCAACGGCCTCCTCGTCTCGCTCCTCTTCGCCATCTCCGTCATCGTGATCGGTACGACGCTCGCACAGGCCGCACGACACACGTCGCACACACAGCACACGGCGGTGGAATTTCATGCTTATAGTTGTCGACAATTCTTTCGCAGCGTGTCCGTGTGCGCTGGGCCTGGCGACGCCCACGGCGATCATGGTGGGCACCGGAGTCGGTGCGCAGAATGGAGTGCTCATTAAGGGCGGACTGCACCTGGAGCGCGCGTACAAGATCAACGCCGTCCTGTTCGACAAAACCGGTACGACTTGCCTCCCCTCAATCATGGGTCGTGCTCTTTTATTTATATTATATTGTATTTGAATGCATATGCATATACATGTATAGCTAGATATATACGTTTATCGCTCTGGTACCCTGATGACCTATGACTGTGTCCGCAGGCACATTGACCCACGGCAAGCCGACGGTGACGGATACGAAATTGCTGACCGACAAGATTTCCCGCAAGCGATTCTTCGAGCTGGTCGGCCTGGCTGAGTCCGCGAGCGAACACGTTCTTGGTACGTCCCTTTACCGGTGGCACGCGCCATCGCACGCACACGCACACCACCGCACACGACGCAATGCTGGCAGCTAACATTCGCGGTGTGTGTGTCGCAGCGCGAGCGATCGTGGAGCACGCCAAGACGCAGGAGGAGATCGACATCACCACGTCGCAGCACCTGGTGGAAAACTTCATGGCCGAGTCCGGCAAGGGAGTCTGCTGCGACATTCAGGACGTCCGCGTGTTCGTCGGCAAGCGCGACTGGATCCGGGAGGCCACCAACCTCACCGTATCCGAGGTCTGTGTGTCCCTGTTGCTGTGTGTGTGTGTGTGTGTGTGGCATGTGCGGCGTGAGGAATGCGCGGTATGCTCGTGTGTCATATCTCACATTCTTTTGTGATGGGAGCAGGATGTGGAGATCAAGATTCAGGAGTGGGAGGGCCAGGGCAAGACGGTCGTGCTGGCGGCCCTCGACTCGCGAGACGCCGCGTATCAGGGCAAGGGCAAGGAGAAGGCCTCGTTCGACGCGCGCGTGGAGGGCCTCATCGGCCTGGTCGCCATCTCCGACACCGTCAAGCCCGAAGCCTCCGCCACCATTCGATTCCTCCGCAGTACGCGCCACCTTCCTTTCGCGTGTCGCGTTGTGTCGTGTCGTGTTACCTGATCGTATGCGTGTGCGATTGTGTATGCAGGCATGGGCATCGAGTCGTGGATGGTGACGGGCGACAACAGGCGCACGGCCCACTCGATCGCGTCGCTGGTCGGAATCTCCCCGCTGAACGTCTTCGCCGAGGTCCTCCCCTCGGAAAAGGCGCGCAAGGTCGTCGAGCTCCAATCCAAGGTACTAACCAACCATAATCAAACGATCAACCATTACTAACCAGCCACAATCAATTTACGACGACGACAACCTGAAGGGCTTTACGGTGGCGATGGTGGGCGACGGCATCAACGACTCGCCGGCGTTGGCCCAATCGGACGTGGGCATCGCCATCGGCGCGGGCACGGACGTAGCCATCGAAGCGGCGGCGATGGTGCTGGTCAAGAGCGACCTGCGCGACGTGATCACCGCCATCGACCTCTCCCGCAAGACCTTCAACCGAATCCGACTCAACTACCTGTGGGCCATGATCTACAATCTCGTCGGTACGTCGCGATTTATTATTCTTATTTTTTTAATATTATTTAAAATGTTCAAAATAATGAATCTGTAATTATTGAATTTCTGTTTATATTATTCAGGCATTCCGCTGGCGGCGGGCATTGGTGTGCCGTTCGGGGTGATGCTGCCGCCCATGCTGGCCGGTCTGGCCATGGCCCTCTCGTCCGTGTCTGTGGTCATGTCGTCGCTCCTGCTCAAGCGATACAAAAAGCCCAACATTCCGCTTGACGCTTCGGGTGCGTGCCTCCGCACCACGAACGAACTTATCGTTCCTGTCATCCTGCGCGCTAACTCTCTTTCTTTCACAGCGCAAGGCAAAAAGGATCACATCGTGATTGACATTCCTGCGCTCATCGCCAACCTGCCCGAGACGTTCACCTCGTACGTTCAACTCCTCTTCAGCGTGAGCCTCACACGATTGCTAAACTGATGTCACATCGTTGTGCGGTCGTGTTGTGTGCTTTAAACAAAAGAAGCAAAAAGGAGAAGAGCGCCGGTCTCAACCTGCCGCGGAGCTACTCGCTCAAGAAGAAGGCCCTGTCGTACGGCGTCGAGATGAAGGAGCTCATCCGGTCCAAGGGCCTCATCAACGAAGACCATAAGGCGGACTAAGTGGTAACAACTTCGAACTCACAATTTTGCCTCCTCTTTCTCTTTCTCTTTCACCACGATCCAGAGACTGATCTAGATGTGCAAGCAAACCAACTTTACTTATTTATTGTTGTTTTTATCTCTGACTTTGGTGGATGAGTAAAATACACAAGCCATTCCAGGAGAACTAACGTCACAGGCACGTTACCAATTCAATAGGCAGTTGCTTGTCATCTAGATGACCCTGCGCGACTTACCCCCAATCACCTGTGCAAGATCAGAGAGCTTTCCTGCTTGTGGCCCATGTGAGTGCTCCCAATCCTCAACCGCTGCGCAACCAGCTCAAGCTCGCAATCTCGCCCAATCGCCTGAGCCTACTGCCTGAGCAATAATACAGGATTCCAGCTAGAATCTCGCCTAAAAATCGCACGTCTTCAGTTGCTCAATTATGGAAGAGTGATAATTCCTGGTTTCATCATTATATTCCCGGAAAAAACGGGGCATGTCAGACAACGTGCGGCGGAAAGAGAGGCGGAACGGGTGGGATTCTAGAGGAAGAGACGGCGCCATCAACAAGCGTCAGCAGGCCATCGCCCCAGCCGGGGAATGGACACGGCCGAAGCTTCGGCGAGGGCCACCCCAATCTGCCCGCCACCCCCCACCACCGCCCCCAGCGTCCCACCCGTCTCGGCCGAGCGCCATCGACCACCACCAGTGCCCACAACCCGCTCGGTCGTTCATCTTCTTTCCATTAATCCTCCCAGCGTAAGGACCCTACGACGACCTCACTTTCGAGACACACTCACACTCACTTCTCTCTATCACTTGAGTTCAGAGTGGCCTGTACATACACACACTCCTCTCTACCTTCTAGCCCTCCTTCTCTCTTTACAATCCTGTCTTCCTACGGGAGGCCGATTGCGATTCGCTAGACACATCGAAGAATTGAGCTCCTCCAGGAGGTCGTCCCAGCGTCCATCATTTCGCGCTCGCTCAATTGAAGAAAATTAATCGACCGACGGCGTCCGCGATTTCTTCTACACATCACACTCGGCCGGTACCGATGATGGGCTCGTGCGTCACCGAGGCTGCCCAGGATGTGGGCGGTCTGCACCATCGCCCCCTCTCCGCCACGGCGAATCATCTCCGCGGCCCGCAGCAGCAGCCTCTTGTAAATAATCAATCGCCGCACTCGCAGCATGCTCTCTACTCGTCCCACCACCAGCCGCAGCATTCCCATTCTCATCTCCAGCACCAGCCGCATCCCTACACCGCCCCCACCATGGGCAGCTACTCGGCCGGCGCCGGCTCGATGCAGCCCCTCTCTCAACACCATGCCGCTCCTACCTCCCAGCACAACATGCGCGGCCACTCCATGTCGCACATGTCATCGTCGTCATCTTCGGCCGGCTCCAATTCGTTTATGGATTCTGGCCCCGTCGGCTACGCCGCGTCGCCCCCCTCTTCCAGCGGCTCGTCGACAACAATGGCTCCGCCGCCCCTTCTCCCGCTGCCCATGTCCCTCTCGACCCGTCACGGCCAGCAACAGCATCAACACCAGCACCAGCACCAACACCAGCTCGGCCAGCAGACCGACGAGTCGACCAACGCCGGGTTCCTGCAGCAGCTGCTCCACGGCGGGATGCCCACGGACGAGGAGCTCGTATCAGTCGGAGGCGCCAGCCTGTCGCTGATGGCGGCCACCTACCACGGCCAGCAGTCCCAGCAACAGCCGCAGCAACCGCAGCAGCAGCAGCAGCAGATGGGCTACGGCAGCGGCGGCCAGCCGCACTCGCATTCGCACAACCCGACGCCGGCGAGCACGGGCACGCCGACCAACTCGAGCGAGGAGCTGCCGTGCATCTTCGACGAGCTCGACATGTTCCAGGAGAACCCCAACAGCCTGGTCTCGCCGAGCTGCTTCAGCCACCACCCCGCCACTGTGCCGCCCCAGCACCACCACGCCGGCGCGATGGAGCCCGGGAGCGGCACCAACAACTCCCTCCAGCTGCTCACCATCACCAGCGCTCCCCTGCCCACCGCTCCGACGACCGCCGACGGTACGCCATTCGCCGACACTTAGCCAGTATTTTCGATTGGGTGGTGCCTCACACTTTTATTTTATTTGTCGACACAGCTATGTCGCTGGAGAGTACTGGTGGGCGACGCCGCAAGGTGGACGACCTGTACGGCGACATCAACAGTGTCGGCATCAGTAATGGCGACTGCGCCGCCGCTGCGGACGGCGTGAGCCACGGCCGACGCGGCAGCCACCCGGGACACGGCGCTAAGCGCATTCGCTACAACCGGAGCCGCTCGGCATCGTGTTCCTCGGCGGCTGCGGTCAAGCCCGAGCCTGAGGAATTCGCCGCGGCGCTCGCCTCGTCGTCATCGTCTTCTTCATCATCGGCCGCTGCCTCCTCCGAAACCAGCAACATCGATCTCGAGGATATGTACGTGAATGTTCTCTTCTCTTTGTTCTATTTCGCTTCACTAATCGTTGCACTGCAACATACACAGTTATGTGGGCGTTCGCGACCAGGTGGTATATTGGGGCAACTCGAAGAACAAATACGACGTCACGGTCTGCGTGCGCGCGCCGACCAGGTACTGCGGCCTGCTCAAGGGGGCCACGGTCTCGTACCAGGTCTCGCTTCCGGCCATGCAGGAGTTCAAGATGAAGAGCCGATCCGGCGCCAAGGGCAAAGGCAAGCCCAAGGCGGAGACCGTCAAGAAGGCCGTTCTCCAACTCGTCCGCACTGTGCGTTTCTTTCTCTCTCTCGATTGGTCAGATTTTGTTGAATTTATTCGGTCGCATAGCAACAGTTACTAAAACCAGGTTTGTTGTCCGGCAACAAACAGGAATCCGACAACGGGGTGGTCGAGTTCGAGGCGTTCCTCAAGAACTGCCTTCCGACGGAGAAGCTGAGCAACCTGACCCTGCTCGAGCTCCACTTCAACATCACCCCCAAGCAGCACGCGACCATGGGCAAGGCCGGCGAGGAGATCAAGGCCAGCTTCAACCTCGGCTCCTCCGCGTCGTCGTCGGCCGTGCGCGGCGGGCGCCGGAAACAGTCCGTGGGCGGCGACGACGATGATTTCGAGGACGAGGAGGACGGCCGCGAGTCGCTCGACGAGGACGAGTACGTGCCGACTGCGCGGGGCCGCGGTGGCCGCGGGGGTCGCGGCAAGGCGAACGGACGCGGAGGCCAGCGCGGCAAGACGAACCACCAGCGCGATGAGGAGCGCGAGAGTGACGACCCAGCGGGAGTTGGTATGGACTACCACCAGTTCGACATGGCCTTCGCTGCGGCCGACGGCCTGGCCTCGATCGAGCGCAAGGTGCCCGTGGTGACCTACACCCACAGCAAGGCCATCACCCGCGCACTCTGCCGCCTCATCTGGTACCCCATGAACGAAGAGGTAAAGCCCCCTCGCTACCGGCTTGCTTGGTTACACGTCAGCAATGCCGATCATCATTACTAACATTCTTTTTTGGTTGTGTAGAACACGATGTCGACCGACTTCCTGTTGGAGAAGCTTTGTAAATATTTTGCTTCGCAGCTGCAGCTGCCCATCTCTATCTATGATAGACACAACCTGGCTGCCATGCTGAGCCCCTTCACCAACGGTGCCTCCTCCATCCCTTCCATCTCCTCCTTCTCCTTCACCACCATCTCACACACTCACCTTGCTTGATGATGGTGCAGGCATTACCTATGTAGAGTTTTATTCGCTGCTGGGCGAGTGGTTCGTGCTTGCGATCAAGATGGCCAAGAAGAAGACCCAGTGCCTGTGGCAACAGGGCCGGGAGACCTTCATCCCGCTCCTCTTCAACCCCTACCGCCGGATCAACAACGACAGCGCAGCCACTGCCTCTGCCGCCGGCGGCAGCTCAACGGCATCGAACAACACCGGCGATGACGACGAGTGGACCGAAGACAACGAAGCGTCAGAGTCGACGCGTCGCACCGGCAGAGGCCGCGGGCGACGCAGCCGCTCGGGCTCGCGTGCGGGCCTCCCGCAACCGATGGCCAAGTCGACCGCTGCGGAGGACTGCGGTCTGCTCAACGGCGCTGCTGACGTCATCGCCGCACTGCAGCTTGACGCGGTGCTGGAGCGCGAGGGGGACTTCCTGGTGACGATCGGCCCCGACCTCAAGGAGCGCCACGGGCGGGCCGAGGGCGAGGAGGGCCGCGGCGTCAACTACTTCCCGTCGCTCAAGTACCCGCTGCAGATCGTCTACGTCAAGGCCGACGGCGAGAAGCAGTGCCTGAGCGTAGAGAACAAGCTGGACAAGCTGACCGACTTCATCCACGCCAAGCAGTGTCTGCGCGACTACCTCGTGCTGCAGCGCGATGGCGTGTGGAAGCGGGTGGAGAAGGACCAGTTCGCCTTCAACCACGCGCAGCAGCGGCGGCTCGAGGAGACCCTGGGCCGCACGAGCGTGCTGGGGCGCGAGGACTCCGAGAGCCTCTCCTACGCACACGCTTGATGGTGGCCACAAGCCTGGATGTAAATAAACAATGTCCAACGTTGTTGGTGCTGTACATACAACAGGCAGCAATCTGATCAGAGAAAAAACAGAAGAAAAAGAAAAAAGAAAAGAAATATCGTCATATTTGATTTATATTTTTTGATAGAGCACACGTGTCTCTCCACGTCAGCCTGAAGCAGATTCTGCATCAGTCACAGCTGGACCATGGTTCTCCTTCACCGACGTCTACCGCTCACAGGTACCTCCTTTTTTTCAAAAAATCCAACTATTTACTGCCCCTTGTAGCGGATTGAAGATGGATTAATTGCTCGCAATTGGGGTGCAGTCCTGGCACTATGTGTGTGCCTGTGCTTGCTCAGCGCCGCTACTGCCTCGCTGGCAGAGTTGTCGGGAGCGGGCCTGGACCGCGTCAACCACCACGTCGAGTACCACTATCTCGACGACGAACACCAAGGTGGTGGCGGCGGCAAGGAGGAGGCGTACCTCGCGCCGCGTGGGCAGGAGGTGATCTTGACGCGACACGACGGCACCCGGTTCAACTGCACCCTGCCGCGCGTGGAGGCCTCCGCGTCGAGCGGCCAGACGCCCAACGTGCCGCGGCCCTCCGTCGTGTCCCTCCTCGCGCCGCTCAAGCACAACTGCCTCTACCGGGTAACACACACGACACACACGACACACGACACACGACACACGACACACACGACACACACTTGCTGACGTCATTGTATTGGTGCATCAGTTGGAGGGCTGGTGGACGTACGAGTACTGCCGCGGCCGGTGGGTGCAGCAGTTTCACCAGGAGGGCGACGAGAGGATCGCCGCCTTCACGCTCGGTCTGGCGCCGCCCGAAGACCCGGACGTACGGCATCGGCCTCTTCTTTCACTTTTTTGGCCTCGCGAGGCGATCGAGAGAGAAGATGGTAATCAAATCATCGTCGTGCTCGTTGTGTCCGCGTGCAGGAGGAGTCGGCACGCCGTAGGGTTGAGACGGAGGAAGGCCCTCGCGAGGTCTACAGCGAACTGCACGCCGACGGGACCATCTGCGACATTACGGGCAAGCCCCGGTACGTTCCACACACACACACACCGCGCGCGCACACAACACGAGTAGAGAAACTCACTCGACAACGTCGACACATAGGACGGTGCAACTGGACTTCTACTGCTCGCCCGAAACCCGAACCGGGATGCTCGTTTCGCTCAAGGTGCCGCTGCGCCCGCACCCACTGATGCGATTCAATCGTGCGGGCTTCTGTGCTGATCATGGTGCCGTCGTGGTTGTTGGTCGCAGGAGCCCTCCACGTGCAACTACCTGCTGAGCGTGGCGACGCCGCTGTTGTGTGCGCACCCCGAGTTCAAGGTCGAGGAGAAGGCCGAACAGGCCATCATCTGCCGCGAGCTTCCGCCTCAGGCTGAGGACGAAGACGACAGCAACGACGTTGAGCTGGAGCTGGACCCGCCCACCTGGCTCCAGAAGAACGCGGACTTAGTTGGGTGAGGCGTTTCGTGTCTCACCACTTACTCTCCCCAGGACGCTTGGTTAGCTTTGTACAAACGCAGCGTGTGCCTCAATGCAAGACACATCATGACTTGATACACTTTGTAATCTTCTCCTCTTGTATTCTTGCAAGCCCCCCCTTGTCGCTTCATTCTTTCACATTTCGTTTTCTTTTCTCTTTCGTTCTTTGTCCTGGGTGCGGGGGCTATCCCACAGTCTTGAGCAGCTCCTCGTCGCTCAGCTCTTCGCTGTCGTTGAGCTTCCTCTCGAGGCTCTCCTCGCCCCCGGGCACCATGACCTCGTCCGCTTCCCTGTTCCTGGCCTCCACAAACTCGTTCATCCGCTTCTTGATGGTGTCCACCGCTGCGTTGGCCCGCTCTCGCTCCACCTCCTCTGCACTCGCTCTGCTCTGCAAGCCCGCGCCACCAGGCTGGGGCAGCAGCACCTTGTACAGTATCAGCACAGCGATCGCCAGCAAGCCCAGGGGAACCACATATTCCAACATATCGAAGTCTGTTGTGGGCTGTTGTGGGCTGGTGTGTTGAAGTTTAGTGAGACTGGGCTCTGTGCCTGGGTCTGCTTGGGCCTGGCTGGGTGCGCCACGCTGATGTCGGGGGAACAGCACCAAGCAACACGCGAAATCTCGTGTGGATGCATTGCTTGGTGAAAGAAATGGTATTTTCTTGAGCAAACAGAATCCATGTTGCCTGCAGTACCTGGTCTGCACAACAAGTATGAGTTTACTATATCAACATAGAGTGGCCAAAGTCAACCCCATGTGTTTGGTGAAGGGGTCATCACCAAGGCACTCCACGTGTTCAGCCTTAATTAACACATACAAAAGGCATCACATGCCAGGCAATCATGGTTTTAAGTGACTCTGGGGCAGTGTTCACAGATGCAGTATGAGCAGGAATTAACCAGGTTGGAGCTGGCCGCACACCATGGCCCCAAGACTGCGAGTGTATAAATGTTATCAACAACCAATGTCAAGAGACAAGGCGCGTGAGCACCACCCCAAGCTTGCTCAAAAAGCGCTGGACGGCTGCTTCAGCGAGGGTGTCATCCTGCCACGCCACCATCACCCGCAGCCCTCCCTCCACGCAGCCCGCCACGCTGCACAGGAGCGCCTCACCGTTCACATGCACGCTCTGGCCGAAGGTCACCGCCGCCACGCGCCACTCGCCGCCGCTGTCGTCTTCGTCCCACGTGCCGAGGTCGCTCAGCTCGAACGACCCCGTGCGGCGCATGGTGGCCGCGTTGCCGTCGCCCTTGGCGCGCCACAGCCGCTCCCAGGCCGCTGGCCACTCGCCCACATGGGCCAGCAGCCCGGGCAGCGCCGCGCCCTCGCGCAGGTTGGCAGACAGATGCCGACCGTAGGCCACGCAGTTTGCCCAGAACTCGTCAGCGTCGTCGCTGGGGTCGGCGGCGCTGACGAGCGGCAGCCAGGTCTCGACGCCGCCGATGAAGTTGCCCACTTCGTCGGCGTCAACGGGTGGCTCGCAGAACCGGCGGGCGGAGA